TTTAGTAGATATGGGGTTTCACCATGCTGGCCAGGCTGTTCTGGAATTCCTGACTTCAAGTGATCTGCCTGCCTTGGCCACCCAAAGTGTTGGGATTACAGGCGTGAGCCACCGTGCCCAGCCAAAAGAATTTTTTTTTGAGACAGAGTCTCACTCTGTTGCCCAGGCTAGATTGCAGTGGAGTGATGTCCTGGCTCACTGCAACCTGTGTCTCCTGGGTCCAAGAGATTCTCCTTCCTCGGCCTCTCAAGTAGCTGGAGTTACAGGTGTGTGCCAGCTTCATTTTTGAAAGATACTTTTTCTGTATACAGAATTCTAGATTTATAGGTTTTTTCTTCTCTGATGTCTAATTTGTCATTAATCTCATGCAGTGCAGTTTTTCATCTCAGACACTGTAGTTTTTGTAGTCAGAGATGTGGCTCTTGCTTGCTTTGTTTCCACTGAGAAACCTGTTGTTATCCTTTGTTCCTCTGTACATAATGTATCTTTTTTCCTCTGGTTGCTTTTAAGATTTTTTTGTCACGGGTTTTGAGCAATTTGATTGTGATATACTTTGGTGTAGTTCATTGAGTCTGTGGTTTGTTGAGCTTCTTGGATCTACGGATTTATAGTTTTCACCAAGTTTGGAAAGTTTTTGGATATGATTTCTTCACATATTTTTCTGTTCCTCCATTCTCTCCTCTTGCCACTACTCCAGTTATCTGTACATTAGGCCACTTGAAATTGTCCTACGGCCCACTGATGCTCTTAATTTCTTTCCATTCTTTTTTTTTTTCCTGTGTGTTTCATTTCGATAGGTTCCATTGCTGTCTTCAAGTTGAGTATTTTCTTCTGTATTGTCTAATTTGCCATTAATCTTCTGCAGTGCAGTTTTCATCTCAGACATTGTAGTTATTATAGTTTTCATCTTTAAAAGTACAATTTGGGCTGAGCGTGGTGGCTCATGCTTATAATCCCAGAACTTTGGGAGGCCAAGGAAGGCGGATCACTTGAGGCCAGGAATTCAAGACCAATCTGGGCAACATGGCAAAACCCTGTCTCTAGCAAAAATACAAATACAAAAAAAAAAAAACCAACAAAATAATTAGCTAGGTGCTCATGTCTGTAATCCCAGCTACTTGGGAGGCTGAAGTGGGAGAATCACTTGAATCCGGGAGGTGGTTGTGCCACTGTACTCTAGCTTGGATGACAGAGCAAGACACTGTCTCAAAAAGAAAAAAAAAAAAAGCCAGGCTCAGTGGCTCATGGCTGTAATCCCAGCACTTTGGGAGGCTGAGGCAGGAGGCTCACCTGAGGTCAGAAGTTTAAGACCAGCCTGGCCAACATGGCGAAAACCCATCTCTACTAAAAATACAAAAAATTAGCTGGGCGTGGTGGTAGGCTCCTGTAATCCCAGCTACTCTGGAGGCTAAGGCAGGAGAATTGCTTGAACCTGAGAGGTGGAGGCTGCAGTGAGCTGAGATCACACCACTGCACTCCAGCCTGGGTGATAGAGCAAGATTCAGTCTCAGAAAAAAAAAAAAAAGGTATGATTTAATCGTTTTAATTTTTATTTATTTTTTTGAGACAGAGTCTCACTCATTCGCCCAGGCTGGAGTGCAATGGCTTAATATCGGCTCACTGCAACCTCTGACTCCCGGGTTGATTTGATGTTTTTAAATATCTTATATCTTGGTATTTACTTTACTTTTTGAATGTAATACAGTTATAATTATTGTTTTAATATCCTTATCTGCTAATTCTGACATGGGTACAAGTTTTGGGTTAGTGTTGCTTGATTGTTTATTCTCATTACATGTCCTATTTTCCTGCTGCTTTATATGTCTGATAATTTTTTTTTGGGGTGGGGGGACAGAGTCTTGCTCTATTGCCCAGGCTGGAGGGCAGTGGCACGATATTGGCTCACTGCAAACTCTGTGCCCTGAGTTCAAGTGATTCTCCTGCTTCAGCCTCCTGAGTAGCTGGGATTACAGGCGTGTGCTACCATGCCCCGCTAATTTTTGTATTTTTAGTAGAGACAGGGTTTCACCTATTGGCTAGGTTGATATTGAACTCCTGACCTTGTGATCTGCCCGCCTCAGCTTCCCAAAGGGCTGGGATTACAGGTGTGAGCCACCATGCCCGGTCATGTCTGATAATTTTTTATTGGATGCCAGACATGAATTTTACTTTGTTGAATGGTGGGTATTTTAGATTCCCTATTCTTTTTTTTTTTTTTTTTTTGAGTGGAGTTTCGGTCTTGTTTTCACAGGCTGGAGTGCAGTGGCATGCTCTCGGCTCACTGCAACCTCTACCTCCTGGGTTCAAACAATTCTGTTGCGTCAGCCCTCCGAGTAGCTGAGGTTATAGGCACCCGCCATCACGCATGGCTAATTTTTGTATTTTAGTAGAGATGGGGTTTTACCATGTTGGCCAGGCTAGTCCTGACCTCAGGTGATCCACCCACCTTGGCCTCCCAAGTGCTGGGATTACAGGCATGAGCCACCACACCTGCCCTTGCTGTATATATTCTTGAGCTTTGTTCTGGGGTACAGTTAAGTTACTTGAAAACAGCTTGATTCTTTCAGGTTTTGCTTTTAAGCAAGCAAACTAGCTGTGTTTTCTTTAGAGTTAATTGTGTCTCGATACTGAGGCAGGTCCCTTTGTGTACTCTACTCAGTGCCCTGTGAATTATGAAGTTTTCCAGTCTAACTGGTAAGAAGAGGTACTGTTCCCTGCTCTGTGTGAAGTTGGATACTGTTCCTTCTCATCCTTTCTGGTAATTCTTTCTCTGGCATTGGGTAGTTTACTCCTAAGCATGTGCTGACCAGTACTCTGCTGTATACTTGAGGGGGGGCCTCTACAGATCTCTGGAGTCCCCGCTTATGTAGCTGTCTCATCTGCAGTATTCTGTCCTGCAAACTATGGCTTCTTTGTCTCCTTGGACTCTTAGTTCCATCTCTTCAACTGGGAGAGTCTGCTGGGCTCTGCCTGGATTTCCCCTCCCTGTGCCACAGAGGGAACACCCTCAAGGCAGTAAGTTGGAGTGTTGTAGGTTTCTCCTCATGTCAACTGTTGCTCCAACATCACTATCCTCTGGTACCTGATAACTAATTTCCTGAAACTGTTGTTTCATATATATTATCTGTTTATTTGGTTGTTTCAGTAGGGAAGGTAAATCTGGTTCCTGTTACTCCATCTTGGCCAGAAGCAGAATTCCCAGAGAATGTTTTTGAATCTCTGAATGAATCCACAGAGCTCTCTGGCCCCAGTGTGAGGTAGATCAGTAGGGTAACTGTAGTTTATAATAACCGATTGTATATTTCAAAGTAGCTAGAAGAGAAGAATTTGAATGATTCTAGCATGAAGAAAAGACAAATATTTAAGGTGATGGATATCCCAATTACACTGATCTGATCTTTACAAATTGCATGAATATATTGATTATCACATGTGCTCTGAATATCTGTTATGCATCAGCAACAACAAAAAGCTCTACAGGAATATTCTTTGAGATCTTATACACATGTGCATACCTTAGGAAGCCCCCAAATATTCCCAACTTTGAAGTCAGTTGGTCACTGACACTCCAGTGACATGCTGCTGGCACACAGAGCTCATCACACAGCCAGTGGTTCCCTAACCACATGGTGAGCTTTCCTGAGGGCTGCAGGCCTCATTGGTTTCTGCTGGTTGGTTCCTGGCATAAAGTCTGGCAGCTGGTGTTGAGCTGATAAGAGTTAGAGGGCAGGAGGCATCGCTACAGAGGTGAATGGAGATGGCTAAACAGATGTATGGGACTGCCTGGGACTCTTCCCTTATCTGAGCGTTGTGCCCAAGTCCCACCTTCTGGCTCCAAAGTGGGAGACAGTTCTTTTCTTTTTCCTCCTGCTGCTGCCTCTGTACTGCTGAGCCTGTCTCCCAGCAATCCCAAGGGCAGCAGCCCAAAGGTGGCAAGCAGGAGAGCAGAGTCCAGCTGTCAGAGGCCACCTCAAGAAGGAGCTGCTGTGTGGCTTGAGTAGTGTTCTTTAGGCAGTGTGGCTCAGCATCCCCGAGGTATGATGGCAGGGAGCCTACGGCTTGTTCTGGAGTGGCAGCCAGAAGACTTTGCTCCTAGACTTGGCTCTGCTGCTTACCAACTGTCTGCCATCGGACACTCTGCTGAGCCTCTCTGTGCCTTGCTTGGTTACCTGTTCAGTGGGCTTGATAACCCTTGTCTTCCCCATCTCACAGAACTGTTACAGTGTATGCAAAGATGCTTTACCCTAGTAGAATCTTGCATAAAACCATTATCATTTTCTTAGAAATTATCAAACAAATGAAAATCTTATCAAAAAATGAAAGTTTTTATTTTCTATTTTCCTAATTAGATGTCTGAACTGGAATGTTTTCGGTTATAATCTGCATGGCAAGCAGCAAGTTTAGGGCAGAGCTGTGTGTTTGTCTATTTATTTGACTTTTGTTACTATTTTTTTCTTTTTCTTTTTTAGTTATTTTGCTAGTTACCTATCACCTGGATGTTTGTTTATTTTTTGAGACAGAGTCTTTCTCTGTCACCCAGACTGGAGTGCAGTGGCATGATCTCAGCTCTCTGCAACCTCTGCCTCCTAGGTTCAAGCAATTCTCTTGCCTCAGCCTCCCTAGAAGCTGAGATTACAGGTGCCCACCACTGTATCTGGCTAATTTTTATATTTTTAGTAGAGATGGAGGTTTTGCCATGTTGGCCAGGCTAGTCTCGAACTCCTGACCTCAAGTGATCTGCCTTGGCCTCCCAAAGTGCTGGGATTACAGGTGTGAACCATCCACACCTGGCCCTATTTGACATTCATTAATCTATTAATAGTACCCGCTTGTGACCTTCCTAACCTGGGAGATGGTGAGTAGCTTTTTGGTAGTTTAATGAAAGGAGACCTTTTTGTCTCCAAGGGGAAAATTTCGCGTTGGAGGGGAACTGTAATTCTTGGCGTTCTTTTGTTTTGAAGTCAAATATGACTCAGTGTGCTGGCATGTTTTGGTTGCAGAAGAAAGTGGTCACTTATGGTCGGAGGAGCAGCCAGCTCACCCTCTCCAGGTCGGGGCTGTGTACCTGGGTGAGGAGGAGCTCCCACATGACCCGATGGGCCAGGACAGGGCAGCAGAAGAGGCTGATGCGGTGCTGGGGCTGGATACCCAAGGCGATCACATGGTGATGCTGTCTGTGATTCCTGGGGAAGCTGAGGACAAAGTGAGTTCAGAGCCTAGTGGCGGCACCTGTAGCGCTGGAGGAGAGGCAGGAGTCAAAGTGCAACCTCCGAGAGAGCCTTTTCTCTCTGGATAGTGCTGGAGCACACTTCCCTGATAGAGAAGAGGAGTATTACACGGAGCCAGAAGTGGCGGAATCCGACACAGCCCCGGCAGAGGACTCCAATAGCACTGAAAGTCTGAAATCCCCAAAAGTGAACTGTGAGGAGAGAAACGTTACGGGATTAGAAAATTTCACTCTGAAAATTTTAAATATGTCACAGGTAAGGAAAAAATATTTAGTGCTTTTCTCCTTTTCAGTACATTCATTTTATGATTAATACTCTATCAACTTTGAAATGGAAAGTCATAATCATTATCATATTGTAAGCGAGATGGCATGTAATAGCTGCTTCAGTGAACATTGACTTTGTCCTCTGTGATGTTTATAGGGAAAGGAGGAAATACAACTAGTGTTGATTACGCTCTTCAGGTGGCCTAAACCTAGTCTTCCTTGGGCCAATCCCACTACCAAACCTCATGATAAAAATCCCAATGGATAGATAGTTGCTTGGCACCAAAATCATAGAATTTTTTTTTTTTTTTTTTTTTCGAGATGGAGTTTTGCTCTTGTCTCCTAGGCTGGAGTGCAGTGGCGTGATCTTGGCTCACTGCAACCTCGGCCTCCTGAGAAGCTGGGATTACAGGCACTCGCCACTGCAAGTGGCTAATTTGTTATTTTAAATAGAAATGGGGTTTCACCATGCTGGCCAGGCTAGTCTTGAACTCCTGACTTTGGGTGTTTCACCCACTTTGGCCTCCCAAAGTGCTGGGATTACAGGTGTGAGCCACCATTGATAAAAAGTTTCTCTTTCATCAGTGACTGTGGGGTGGTTGAGAAAACAAAAGTGTAAGATGCATTCATGCTGCTTATTAAGAGAAGTAAATCCTGACTGAGAACTGTGATTGCTTGTCAATGAGGGCACAGCACCTGTAGTACACATAGCTCCTCCAAGGGCAGGGCTCAGTGCTGGCTCTGCATCCACTCCTGGGTCTAAGTTATGGATTAAACAGGTGGTGGTAGGAATGGTGTGCTCTTTTTTTTTTTTTCTGAGACAGAAGTCTCACTCTGTTGGCCATGCTGGAGTGCAGTGGCATGATCTGGGTTTACTACAATCTCTGCCTCTCAGTTTCAAGTGATTCTTCTCTCTCAGCCCCCTGTATAGCTGGGATTGCAGGCACATGTTACCATGCCTGGCTAATTTTTGTATTTTTAGTGGAAATGGGGTTTTATCATGTAGGCCAGGTTGGTCTTGAACTCCCAACTGCAAGTGATTCACCCACCTTGGTCTCCCAAAGTGTTGGGATTACAGACGTGAGACATTGTGCCTAGCTAGGATGGTGTACTCTTAAATTGATCTAACCTTTGGCCAAATACATTTATATGACTGCTTAGTTCAGAGCTGAGATGATAGTTTGGATCTGAGATCATAGTCCTCTAATATTTCCATGTTAGATGGTTTGAGATGTATAGTTCAAAGGTGGGGACAATTGCCTGGACTCTGTGAGGACTTAGTACAGGCATACCTCAGAAACACTATGGGATTTGGCTCCAGACCACTGTGATAAAGCAAATATCGCAGTGTAGCAAGTCACAGGAATTTTCTGGTTTCCCAGTGCATACAGAAGTTATAGTATATTGTAGTTTATTAAGTATGCAGTAGCAATATGTCTAAACAATGTATATATCCTTAATTTAAAAATGCTTCATTGCTAAAAAATGCTAACAATCACCTGAGCCTTCAATGAGCTGTAATCTTTTTGCTGGTTGAGGGTCTTGCCTTGATGTTGATAGCTACTGACTGATTAGGATGGTAGTTTCTGAGAGTTGGGGTGGCTATGGCAATTTCTTTGAGACAGAGTATCACTCTGTCACCCAGGCTGGAATGCAGTGTGAGACCATGGCTCACTACAGTCTTGATCTCCCAGGTTCAAGTGATCCTCCCAGCTCAGCCTCCCAAGTAGCTGGCACTACAGGCATGTGCCACCACACCTGGATAATAATAATAATTATTATTTTTCATAGAGATGGTGTCTTACTGTATAGCATAGGCTGGTCTCAAAACTTCTAAGCTCAAGTGATCTTCCCGTCTTGGCCTCCCAAAGTATTGCAGTTAGAGGTGTGAACCACCACGCCTGGCCCACACAGTTTTTTTCTTTTTCTCTCTTTTTTTTTTTTTTGAGATGGAGTCTCACTCTGTCACCCAGGTGGAGTGGAGTGGCATGATCTTGGCTTGCTACAACCTCTGTCTACCAGGTTCAAACTATTCTCCCACCTTAGCCTCCTGTTGAGTAGCTGGGATGACAGGCGTACGCCACATGCGCAACTAATTTTTGTATTTGTAGTAGAGACAGAGTTTCACCATGGCCAGGCTGGCCTTGAACTCCTGACCTCAAGTGATCTGCCCACCTTGGCCTCCCAAAGTGCTGGGATTACAGGCATGAGCCACCATGGCCGGCCTTTGGTCCACAGTTTCTTAAGACAATGAAGTTTGGCACATTGATTCCTCCTTTCACAAAAGAATTCTCTGTAGCATGCAATGCTGTTTCACAGCATTTTACCCACAGTAGAACTTCTTTCAAAGTTGGAGTCAATTCTCTTAAACCCTGCTGCTGCATTATCAACTAAGTTTATGGAATATTCTAAATCCTTTGTTATCATTTCAACAATGTTCACAGCATCTTCACCAGACATGGATTCCATCTCAAAAAACTACCTTCTTTGCTTATCCATAAAAAGCAACTCCTCATCTCTTCAAGTTTTATCATGAGATTGTAACAATTCAGCCCTGTCTTCAGACTCCACTTCCAATTCTAGTTTTCTATTTCTACCACAGCTGCAGTTCTGTCCTCTACTGAAGTCCTGAACTCAAGTCATCCACGAGGGGTGGAGTCAGCTTCTTTCAAATGCCTGCTAATGTTGATATTTTGACCACCTCCCATGAATCACAAATATTTTTAAAGTAATCTAGAATGGCAGATCCTTTCCAGAAGGCTTTCAATTTATTTTGCCCAAATCCATCAGAGGAATTGCTGTCTATGACAACTGTAGCCTTATAAAATATATTTCTTAAATAATAAGAGTTAAAAGTTGAAATCCCTCCTTGATCCATGGGCTGCAGCATGGATGCTGTGTTGGCAGGCCTGGAAACAACGTTCACCTCCTTGTGCTTCTCCACCAGAACACTTGGGTGATCAGGTGCATTGTCAATGAGTGTAACATTTCGAAAGGAATCTTCTTTTCTGAGCAGTAGGTCTCAACAGCGGGCCTAAAATACTCAGGAAACCGTGCTGTAAACAGATGTGCTGTCATCCAGGCTTTGTCATTCCTTTTCTAGAGCACAAAGTAAATTTAGCATAATTCTTAAACGCCCTAGGATCTTCAGAATGGTCAATGAGCCATGGGTATTGGCCCTGAGGTTGTGCATACCTGTAGTCCCAGTACTTTCAGAGGCCAAGGTGGGTGGATTGCTTAAACCTAGGGGTTCCAGACCAGCCTGGGGAACATGGCAAAACCCCATCTCTACAAAAAAATACAAAAATTTGCCAGGTGTGGTGGTGGGCACCAGCTACTTGGGAGGCTGAGGCAGCAGGATTGCTTGAGCCCAGGAGGTCGAGACTGCAGTGAGCCATGATTGTACCACTCTACTCCAGCCTGGGTGACTGAGTGAGACCTTGTCAAATAAATAAATATATAAGACACCAGTTGCATGGGCCTCTAAAAAGAGTCTGCCTGTCCTTCAGGCCAGGCATTGACATCTCCTGTCTAGCTATGAAAGTCCTAGAAGGATATCTTATTCCAATAGAAGGCTGTTTTATCTGTATGAAAATTGGTTGTTGAATATAGCCACCTTCATCAATTCTCTTAGCTAGATATTCTGGGTAAGCTGTTGCGGCTCTCTCTGTCTCTCTCTCTTTTTTCCATTCATCTTTGATGTTACTATGTTGCAGCTTCTTTTTCAGCACTTGCTGCCTCACCTTGCAGTTTTATATTCTAGAGACAGCTTCTTTCTTAAACCTCATGACCCAGCCCCAGCTAACTTCAGACTTTTCCTCTGCAGCTTCCTCACCTCTCTCAGCCTTTGTAGAATTGAAGAGAGTTAGAGCCTTGCTCTGGATTTAGGCTTTGGGTTAAATGTTGTGACTGGTTTGATCTTTTATCCAGAACATTAATTCTTTCTCCATATGAGCAATAAGGTTGTTTCACTTTCTTATCATTTGTGTAATCACTGGAGTAGCACTTATTTTTATTTTTAAGCATCAGAGTCACCACGCTGGATGGAGTAGCGTGCTAACTTCCTTTAAGAACTTTTCCTTTGCATTTGTGACTTGGCTGACCGGTGTAAGAGGCTTGGCTTTCAGCCTGTCTCCTGTGTTGGTATTCGACATGCCTTCCTCACTAAGCTTAATCATTTTTGGCTTTGATTTAAAGTGAGAGATGTGCAACTCTTCCTTTCACTTAAACAGTTAGAGGCCACTGTAGGGTTATTAATTCACCTAATTTTAATATTGTTGTGTCTCAGGGAGTGGAGAGGCCTGAGGAGAGGGAGAGATGGGGAACAGCTGGCCAGTGAAGCAGTCAGAACATAGACGTTTATCAATAAAGTTCACTGTCTTCTATGGGTGCAGTTTTTGGCACCCCAAAACAATTACAATAGTAACATCAAAGATAAGAATCGTAGATTACCACAACAGATATAATAATAATGAAAAAGTCTGAAATATTGCAAGAATTACCAAAATGTGACACACACACAAAATGAGCACATGCGGTTGGAAAAATGGTGCTACTTGCTCCACGCAGCATGGCCACAAACCTTCCATTTGCAAAAAATGCAATGTCTGCAAAGTGCAACCAAGTGAAATGCAGTAAAATGAGGTATGCCTGTATTTGAAATGATGAATTATGAAAAATATTAAAATAAACTTGCAATATTAGGAAAGTACAGAGGAAAGTTTAAAACTTTCTGCTTAATTCGGCAAGATTTTTAAAAAGTGAAAGGTTATAACTTGTCATTTGATCATACCTCTTTGCTGATTCCTGGATTCATATGGTTCAAAGTCCGAAAGGTTATTGCGGGTCCCTCCTCTCACTGCTCCCACCTACCCGTTCCTCTCTCTGGAGCAGAAGTGTGTCCTGTTTCTTGGATATTCTTTCAGAAAAATGTACATTTACTTCTGACTTTAATGCTTGTTTCTTTTACCACAGGACCTTATGGATTTTCTGAACCCAAACGGTAGCGACTGTACTCTAGTCCTGTTTTACACCCCGTGGTGCCGCTTTTCTGCCACTTTGGCCCCTCACTTTAATTCTCTGCCCCGGGCATTTCCAGCTCTTCACTTTTTGGCACTGGATGCATCTCAGCACAGCAGGTATCTTCCCTTGGTGGGGTTTACGTCCATCCTCCTGGCTGATGGTTGCAGCTATTTCGAGATCCAAATTAGATAAGTTAGAAGCAGAGGAGGGGGGCATGAACTTTGTCCTGGGATCAAAGGCAAGGCAAGAGTGAGTAGTGAGGATTGTCATACCCCTGAGAGAACTGGTGGCGTCACTTTGTGGAGGCCTCTTAAAGAAAGAGGGCTGTTCTCTGTGTGGTGGATTTAAAGGTGGCAGGTGATGGCACCTGATGGCAGGAGAGGGGCCAGAAGACTTTTGAGGGCCATGGCCAGACTGAATCAGCACAACTGGTATCACAGTAGCATATTCCTTTGTGACTTTACTGCTGAGGGTTAAATCCCCATCCCAGGCAGCCTAATTCCCAGCAGCCCGGTTTTGTGTCTACTCAGGATTTTTCTTTCCTTTTCTTTTTCTTTTTGAGATGGAGTCTTGTCGCCCAGGCTAGAGTACAATGGCATCATCTCAGCTCACTGTAGCTTCTGCCTCCCAGGTTCAAGTGATTCTCCTGTCTCAGCCTCCTGAGTAACTGGGATTACAGGCATGTGCCACCATGCCTGGCTAATTTTTTTGTATTTTTTTAGTAGAGACAGGGTTTCACCATGTTGGTCAGGTTGGTCTCGAACTCCTGACCAATCTCAGAGTTGATCCACCCACCTTGGCCTCCCAAAGTGCTGGGATTACAGGGGTGAGCCACCGCTCCCAGTCTCCTTTTCTTTTTTTTTCCTTCTTTTCCCTTTCCCTCTTTCCTTCTTTCTTTCCTCCATACTTATTTTTGCAGTCATGTTCTGTAGTAGGCACTTGATCAAGTAATGAATTAATTTAGCTTTTTAACATGACATTTACCTTTGTTTTATATTTCTTACCATTCACTGGGTTTTTGTCCAGGCTGGCCTTGAACCTCTAGGCTCAAGCAATCCTCCTGACTTAACCTCCTGAGTAGCTGGGACTACAGGCACATGCCACCATGCTAGGCTTGTCTTTTTTTTTTTTTTTTTCCCAGAGTTTTCCTCTTTTTGGCCAGGCTGGAGTGCAATGGTGCAATCTTGGCTCACTGCAACCTCCACCTCCTGGGTTTAAGTGATTCTTCTGCTCAGCCTCCCAAGTAGCTGGGATTAAGGCACCCACTACCATGCCCAGCTAATTTTTTTTTTTTTTTTTTAAGAGATGGAGTCTCGCTCTGTTGCCCAGGCTGGAGTACAGTGGCAGTGATCTTGGCTCACTGCAACCTCCGCCTCCTGGGTTCTAGCAATTATCCTGCTTCAGTCTCCTGAGTAGCTGGGACTACAGGCACCGGCTGCTACACCCAGCTAATTTTTTGTATTTTAGTAGAGATGGGGTTTTACCATGTTGCCCAGGCTGGTCTTGAACTCCTGGGCTCAGTTGATCTGCCTGCCTTGGCATCCCAAAGTGCTGAGATTACAGGCGTGAGCCACTGTGCCTGGCCCAGGCTTGTCTTTTTTAAGTTTTTAGTAAAGTAAGCTACAGAGAACTTTGTTGAGATGGTCTATGTTTCTCGTAAGTGCTGTGATTGTGCCTGGGTTATAAACTGTTCTCTTCCAAGTCAGATGCCCCTTAGCAGGTCAGCCTCAACAAGGAGGTTGTGTGTGAATAAATCTAGAACATCTGAAAAATGGTCAGTTGGTGGTAAAGTAAAGTTGAGTAAACTTCTGTTACTTTGTCCTTGAGGCCAGGTGCAGAGGCTAACACCTGTAATCCCATCACTTAGGGAGGCCAAGGTGGTAGGATCACTTGAGTCCAAGAGTTAGAGACCAGCTTGGACAAACTGGCAGAACCCTATCTCTATAAAAAAATGCAAAAAATTGGCTGAGGATGGTGGCACCTGTGGTGTCCCAGCTACTTGGGCGGCTGAGGTGGAGGATTGCCTGAGCCCAGGAGGCCAAGGTCACAATGAGCCATGATCCTGCCACTGTACTCCAGCCTGGGCAATAGAGTGAGACCCTGTCTCAAAAAAAAAAAAAAAAAATGGTACTCCACCGATATTCAGTGTGGGACTACAACTGTAATCTGTTTACCTGAATCTGTTTATGAAGAAGGAAATTGTCTGACAAATTAATGATTTTCATATAGGTTTCTCAGTGATATCTAAGTGTCTGGGCCCAAGGGCGCAGACTGATTGGAAGGACAGATCACGTCAGTGTCCAGCTTTGGTGGGGCCTCCACTGCCTCTGGGCATACTTAGTGCTCTCTGGTTCTGGGTCTCACATTGTCCCTCCTGCCCCTTCAACTCCTTCCCCGACCTGCTTTCTTCTTTCTTTCCCTCAGCTCCATGTTGCACCTGGTCCGGTACCTTAATTATGGAGACTAAAGCTCTCGCTCTTATTACATGGGCTGGGACATGTTTGCTTCTTATGTTAATATTTAAGTTACAGCATGTGTACAAAAGAAAAAATTCTGGTTATACAATATTACTATTTTACTAATGTGCAAAACAGGCTTAGCGAGGTTAAATAATCTGCCCTGAGTTCACATTGGTTCAGTGGCAGAACTGAGGCTTAAACCCAGAGTGTTTTGACTCAGGAGTTTATCACCCTTAGTCTGTATTATGTAAAGGGGAAATAAGCCCGCATGGTCATATTACTTCCAAGCGAGTCATCCTGCCCTGATTGTGAACATCCCTGTGTGTTTGTTAGATCAGATTTACAGATCATATACTCCCTTGCACCAGCTTAGCAGACTAATTGCCTTCCATAAGTTGATCTTTTTTGAGGGACAGGGATGGGCATTCTGAAGAGTTGGAATTTTTTTCTGTCAAGTAAATTGACACAGTGTGCTTTGTCCAATGAATTAAGAGTTTTCTGGCCTGGTTTGTTTAGACAGGAATTTAACTAGTGGAATAATTGTGTCATGGGCAGATCCATATTGTAATTGAAAGCAACTCAGATTACAGAAAAGGAGTGCCCCCAGGCATGATCCATAAGCAAAGAGGTCAGAAACAAACAAGCCAAAAGTTTCAAGTATCAGAAGTCTCCTTAGGTCACATGCAACCTCCTCATTTATTTCTGTCCATTGTGATATGGGAATTGTATGCGAAAGCTCTCTATTAATAATAAATTCAGGTTTTCTGACTGACTTCTTTCTCTTGTAGCCTTTCTACCAGGTTTGGCACTGTAGCTGTTCCTAATATTTTGTTATTTCAAGGAGCTAAACCAATGGCTAGATTTAATCATACAGATCGAACATTGGAAACACTGAAAATCTTCATTTTTAATCAGACAGGTATGTGGAAGTAATGTGCTGAGGAAGAAGGTATTCTATTGCTGGGGGTCTGTGCCTTCTGCGGGTTCTGATCTGCTATAATCCTTAATTGAACGATTCAAGAGTGACTGAGTTGTAAAACTTCTCTTCTGATGAACTGTTAAATACCTCCCAATCAGTGTGAAGCTTAACATGAATAGGTAATTTTAATTATTATGGATATATATTTTTTCCTTTTTTTATTTTGAGGCAGAGTCTCACTCTGTTGCCCAGGCTGGAGGGGAGTGGCCTGATCTTGGCTCACTGCAGCCTCTGCCTCTTTGGTTCAAGTGATTCTCATGCCTCAGCCACCTGAATAGTTGGGATTATAAGTGTGCGCCACCTTGACCAGCTGATTTTTGTATTTTTAGTAAAGATGGGGTTTCACCATGTTGGCCAGGACTGGTCTCGAACTCCTGGCCTCAAGTGATTCGCCTACCTCAGCCTCCCAAAGTGCTGGGATTACAGGTGTGAGCCACCATGCCCGGTCTATTATTGATACTTGATTGATTTATTGATTGAGACGGAGTCTTGCTCTGTCACCTGATTGTCATTTCAATTGATATATGGAGAGGGAGCCATTTTGTTCAATGCTCTAACCAAACCTAGAACACAAATCTTGGAGTCAAAGCATCTGTGGTAATCCCTGTTCCTAGTGATGGCTTGTTATGACATTTCTTTCACTAAATTATTAAAAGCATTTTGGGGCCAGGTGTGGTGGCTCACGCCTATAATCCTAGCACTTTGGGAGGCCGAGGTGGGCAGATCAACTGAGGTCTGGTTTTCGAGACTAGCCTGGCCAACATGGCGAAACTCCATCTCTACTAAAAATACCAAAAAATTAGCTGGACATAATGGTGTGTGCCAGCTACTCGGGAGGCTGAGAATCACTTGAACCTAGGAGGTGGAGGTTGCAGTGAGCTGAGATCACGCCACTGCACTCCAGCCTGGGAGACAGAAAAAAAAAGCATTTTGAATTTAGCATTGCTTAGCCCGTGGAAACATTCTGTAGATTCCTGAGAGGAGTTTTACTAGTTACTTACTGAACGTTGGTCTCAAAAGACACCAAAAGGCAACTCTTATAAATACATTGGCTAAGAAACTGCTGATGAGTTGACAGAAATTCTAGTGTTTTAGTTGTGAACAGCTGAATGGATTCCTGATCCTTTGATGTGGTCAGGGGAAAGGCAACTTATAAATTACACTGACAGGCAAGTGAAATCCATCCCAGATATTAATATGTATACTTGTGGCAGTGTTTAGTTTAGGACTGCATATCATTTTGCATACCATGCATAAAACTTGAGAAAAATCTGTGGCGGGTGCTTTTTCTGTCTGATTTGAAACCACTGATTTTTCTTTCAGGTATAGAAGCCAAGAAGAATGTGGTGGTAACTCAAGCCGACCAAATAGGCCCTCTTCCCAGCACTTTGATAAAAAGTGTGGACTGGTTGCTTGTATTTTCCTTATTCTTTTTAATTAGTTTTATTATGTATGCTACCATTCGAACTGAGAGTATTCGGTGGCTAATTCCAGGACAAGAGCAGGAACATGTGGAGTAGTGATGGACTGAAAGAAGTTGGAAAGAGGAACTTCACTCCTTCGTTTCAGAAATTAGTGCTGCAGTTTCATACATTTTCTCCAGTGAAGTGTTGACTTGAAACTTCAGTCCGATTAAAAGAATCATGCATTTGTTGAACTACTTAAAGTATAAAAAAATTATAAACTGGTGTTTTAACTAGTATTGCAATAAGCAAATGCAAAAATATTCAGTAGAGTGCACGATTCTTGTTTTTACTACGTGAATGTGATCCAGTTTGAAATGTGAAGATGTATTCTGGTAGAATAGTGAGTAGAATGACATGCTTACTATACAGAAGGCAAAAAGAGGACTCTCAGATTATAGTTTTAGGAAACCCTCGATTCCTTATATATGTTTAAGAAGGTTAGTTTTCTGTTTTTTTGCAACTTTTTTTTCCAGAGTCTATAGCAGGAAAGTATGTAACTAGAATTGGTTAGTGTGACCCCTCAAGTAGCAAGTGAAGGAAAATAAAAGACTCACATGCCTTGTTGTTTGTGATCTCTGCTTTCACTCAAAAAATATGAAGTGTTTTGTTTCTGGGTTAGGCAGATGTTAGGAGAAGGTAAATGCTGTAACTAAAGCTCAATTATTATCAGTTCTATGCTAATGTATGTATTTTAGTCATAGTTATCTAACCAGCATGCAGTAATTGAACCTAAAATGTTCCTAGCAGGCCGGGCATGGTGTCTGATACCTGTAATCCCAGCACTTGGGGAGGCTGAGGCAGAAGGATCACTTGAGGTTAAGAGTTCGAGACTGGCCTGGCCAACTTGGTGAAATCCTGTTTCTACTAAAAATACAAAAAATTAGCCGGGCATGGAGGTGGGTGCCTGTAATGCCAGCTACTCAGGAAGCTGAAGCAGGAGAATTGCTTGAACCCAGGAGGTGGAGGCTGCAGTGAGCCAAGATCATGACACTTGCACTTCAGCCTGGGCAACAAGAGTGAAACTCTCGCTCTCAAAAAAAAAAAAAATGTATAGACGTATAAAACACTGTTCTTGTCCACAAGTTGATTTTAGTCTAGTTCAAGACACATTTAGTAAAGAGACAACATGTAATTTAAACAAATTTTTGAAAACCTATTTCCAAAAGGATTCATTAAATTCAGATATGACAGCTAATTACCTCATGATACTTTTATACTAATCATTTCCCAGATTTTAAAGTAGTTGAATGTTTACTTCATAAGGCACCCTAAAGTCTATAGAAATAAAACTTCAGGCTGGGCATGATGGCTCACGCCTGTAATCCTAGCACTTTGGGAGGCTGAGATGGGTGGATCACCTCAGGTCAGGAGTTCCAGACCAGGCTGACCAACATGGTGAAACCCCACCTCTACTAAATACAAAAAAATTAGCCAGGTGTGGTGGCATACAATCCCAGCTACTTGGGAGGCTGAGGCAGAAGAATGACGAACCCAGGAGGCAGAGATTGCAGTGAGCCGAGATTGTACCATTGCACTCCAGCCTGGGCAACAAGAGCAAAAGTCGATCTCAAAAACGAACAAAACAAAACCAAAACCTCAGATGAGTCTCCTTCTTAGAGTGTTGTAATGAACGGGAGTTTGTAACTTTTATGTGTCATGTTGTGAATAGCTGTGGTTGGGGTGGTCACTGGCAGGAGGTCACTACTGTATCTCAGAATGGTACATTATTTCCATTTCACAAATGAGCACTCTGAGGCGTAGAGAGTTAGATAACTTGACCAGGTTACACAGATTGTAAGTTGAAGCTGGGATTTGAATCTCACCTGTATACTTATAAAAACAATGTAAGGAAAACTCTGGTGAGTCCATCTCTTATAATAACTAACATTTAAGTAATTACTATAGAGTGCCAAGTACTGTTTTAGATGCTTTACTTAGACTATTTTGTTTAAATATCCTCATTTTAAAGAATAAACTGTCTGGGCACAGTAGCTCATGCCTATAATCTCAGCACTTTGAGAAGCTGAGGCTGGTGGATTGCTTGAGTCCCAGGAGTTCGAGATCAGCCTGGTTAACAAGGTGAAACCATGTCTTTATTAAAAATAGAAAAAAAATTAGCTGGGCAGGGTGGTGTGTCCCTGTAGTGCCAGCTACTTGAGGCACTGAGGTGGGAGAATCATCTGAGCCCAGGAGTTGAGGCTGCAGTGAGCTGTAATTGTGCCACTGTGCTCCAGCCTAGGCAATCAGAATGAGACAGTCTCAAACAAAAGAAAAATACCTGAGGCTGTCAATAATTTGCTCTCATTCATGCAGCTTCCAGTGACTGGACCAGGCTTTAAATTTACTCCAAAACATCTATGTGGGATGGCACCCTGCCCTGCCTCTGCACCATGGCCCAGCTACATGGGATTCTTCTGGAGGGAAATGTGGAGCAGAGATTCCCTGGAGAGGGGGTTGAAGCATACAGAAGAGGATCAGTCTCGAAATGCTGGTACTGTCAGGAGTGGGGACTCATGCCTGGAATCCTAGGATTGCTTCAGTGAGCTGTAATTGTGTCACTGCACTCCAGCCTGGGTGAGATAACGAGATCATGTCTCAAAACCCCAAAATCAGAAAAACAAAACAAAAACACGAGTAGTGTTGAGGGAAAGTGAAAAGGGGAAGGAAGTGATTGACCAGCTAAACAGCCTAAGTATGGCATCCACTACAGAGGATGTGGCCAGTAAATCTTTGCTAAAAGACTTAAATCCTATTAATTGTGGAGCTACACGTGTGGGCAGGCAATTCACAGCCTCTGTCAGTGGACATCATTTCCCTGGGCCCTAGCATCTGCTGTTGTTTTTTCGACTAGATATGAATGATCAAATTTATTTTTTTGAGATGGAGTTTTGCTCTTGTTGCCCAAGCTGTTGGGCAGTGGCCCGATCTCGGCTCACTACAACCTCCGCCTCCCAGGTTCAAGAGATTTTCCTGCCTCAGTTTCCTTAGTAGCTGGGACTACAGGCATGCACCACCATGCCTAATTTTTGTATTTTTTGTAGAGATGGGGGTTTCACCATGTTGCCCAGCCTCATCTCAAACGTTTGGGGTCAAGCGATCTGTCTGCTTCAGCCTCCTAAAGTACTGGGATTACAGGTGTGAGCCACCTCGCCTGGCCAGTAACTAGATCTGAGATGCCACAGTTTCATACGGCGGTATTAAGAAAGGAAAATGATGAAAGCAAATTTACTGAAAACAATGAAGGTTCACTTGTTAACTCACATCCACCAGTTCATTTTTCAGTTCTTTAATGGGAAAATCTGATTAGTTTTCATGATCATAAACTCAATGTAAATGTCAGAAGTACAACTTTTAATTCTTTAGTGACATTTGATCAGGATCCCCAGTGTGATTCCTCCCAAGTTTTGCTTTTGAAATGGTTACATCTTTTTTTTTTTTTGAGACAGTCTTGTTCTGTCGCCAGACTGGAGTGCAGTGGTGCGATCCTGGTTTACTGCAGCCTCCACCTCTCTGGTTCAAGCAATTCTCCTGCCTCAGTTTCCTCAGTAGCTGGGCTTACAGGTATGCACCACCACACCCAGCTAATTTTTGTATTTTTTGTAGAGATGGGGTTTCACCATTTTGTCCAGGCTAGTCTTGAACTCTTGGCGTCAACTGATCCACCTGCGTCATCCTTCCAAAGTGCTGGGATTAGAGGTGTATGCCACCGCACCGGCGAAATGGTTACATTTTGTCAAATGGGCACATGGGAAGAAGGTAGGTGAGGACAGAAGCCCATGAATTTTAGGCTGCTTTGAGGCAAAATGCTTTATTTTTTCTAGGTTCATATGTATGGACTGCTAACAACTGCTAAGCTGAAGTTAAATGGACTATTGTTCTTTAAAAAAAATATTTTGCTATATCCTCTGCTTATTAATTTGCTTAACCTTTTTTTTCTTTTGAGAAGGGTGAGGGACAGGGCATTTTGCTGTTGCTGGAATGCAGTGGTTCGATTTTGGCTCACTGCAGCCTCCCAGGCTCAAGCCATCCTCCCATCTCAGTCTCCTGGGTAGCTGGGACTACAGGCGTGCACTAGCACGCCTGGCTTATTTTTGTATTTTTAGTAGAGATGGGGTTTTGCCATGTTAGCCAGGCAGCTCTTGAATGCCTGGCCTTGTGATCCTCCTGCCTTGTCCTCCCAAAGTGCTGTGATTACAGGTATGAGCCACCAGGCCCAGCGTGCTTAAACTGTTTTTAGTTAAAAAGAATACAAATGAATAGTCTTAATACGCTTTAAAGGGTGATTTTCATAGTATGTCAATTACATCTCAAAAAAGAAAAGACAAAAAAAAGTGATTCCTCCCAAAAAATGATACAAGAGAAGATTCACCTAAATCTGTTCACAGCTGTCTGCAGAGTGCCTACTGTGTGCTGAGCCTGGGGATACAGGACACCGGCACGTTTGAGAGGGGATTACAGGCCGGGTTTCCACACCCTTTGGTCCAGGCAAATGTAGTTGAGCCACCTGGCTCAAGGACTTGGCAGCTGCGCGATGACTGAACAGAGCCTACGTTCGAACCCACGGCTGCAAGACTTACGATCCCCCGACGGGAACTGCCGTGGTTCATTGCCCCAGAGAGTGCTGAATGAAAACAGACGGGGTGGCTCCGGAGCACCCGCCGCTCTTGTGTCCCTGCCCAGGCTCGCGACATTCTCCCGTCCGCGCACACGGCGCGCAGCGCCGCCCAGCGGGGAGCCCAGCTCGGTGCCAGCGCCCGCGAAGCGGAGGCGGCCGGTGCCTGAAGGCGGGACAAGGTTCCTTCCCGCGCAGGGAGGACCGGAGGCAAGGCCAGCACGCGCCAGCCGGCCTGCGTCCCGGGCACAGACGCGACAGGCTGGCACCGGGCGGGGGCTGCGCGCGGCAACGCGGCCTGCGGCAGTGGGGAGCGCAGAGTCCACCTAGTGGCCAAGGGCTATGGCGACCGCTGAAGCTCCTGAGGGCCTTCGGGGTCCGCGCTGCGCCTCGCGGGACGGCTGGGCGCTGCCCGCACTGCCTTCGGCTCCGGGCCGGCCACGCAGGGAGACTACTGGGTGGCGGTAGCTGGGCGGGGCCGGGTCGGGGGCGGCTGTGGGCTGCAGGCAGGCAGTGCGCGGGGCAGCCCTCAGCGGACAGCCATGGCGGCTGCGCTCTGGGCGTGGGGGGCGACGCGGCGCGTGTTGTCGGAGCTCCGAGACCGGAGGCTGGGGCGTGCGGCCATGGTGAGTGTCGAGCGGCCGCGGGGGCGGGGGCTGGGGGGCAGCGCGAGGCCCGGCGGTGTCGGCTGAGGGGCCAGCGGGACTGGGGCGGCCGCGGCGTGGGCCGGGCCCTGGGGCTCGGGGGTTGGGTCACCGCGTCCCGGGACCGAGCACCTGCCCGGCTCGCCGCTCAGAGACCGGAGTGTCCGCAGCCTCCGCCACTTGCCTGTTGGCTTAATACGTCGGCCGAAACCTGCGAACTTAGCAACCGGAAACAAACGGGAACGAGTTTTGTTCAACCACAAAAGGCAGACGTGAAAAGTAGTTGCTGAACGATTCGGTGCTCGCTGCCGCTCGCGGTGCTGAGGACGGACGGCGCTGCGGGCCCGGCTCCCTACGGCGGCTTCCTGCTCGCGCTTCACTTCATGGGGAGCCCACTGAGGTTTCGGAGGAGTTATTAATAAATTGTGTTTTTTGGCGACATACTGGCTTTTCTTTCCTCTTCCAAGGGGCCTTCAGTCAGTTTTCCTGCTGTAGAAATTAACAGTTTAGGGTAAATAGGGGGAAAGTTTTAATATGCAGCACCACCTAGTGGGAAAATCATGTGTTAAACTCACCTTGTCCTTTTAAGTGGCCCTTTAACCACCCATTTCGGTTTGAAATGTTTGCTTTGTTTTGTTTTGTTGTTTTGAGACGGAGTCTCGCTGTGTCGCAGAGCCTGGAGTGCAGTGGCACGATGTTGGCTCCCTGCAACCCCCGCCTCCCATGTTTAAGCTATTCCTGCCTCAGCCTCCCGAGTAGCTGGGATTACAGGCGCCCACCACCATGCCCAGCTAATTTTTAAATTTTTAAATTTTTTAATTTTTTTTAAATTTTTAAATTTTTTAGTAGAGACAAGGTTTTGTCATGTTGGCAAGGCTGGTCTCGAACTCCTGACCTCAGATGATCCACCTGCCTCGGCCTCCCAAAATGCTGGGATTACAGGCGTGAGCCATCTCCTCTGGCCTGAACTTCTTCAATAGAAGAAATTTAAAATAGCTCGTAGACGGTGGAAGATTAGCACTCCGCAGCTTCCTGGCCACGAAGGGGAGAACACAAGTTGAATGCTTACTGTCATCTAGGCGTTTCTCCAGGCATACTCTGCCCCAGGTGATAGTGACCCATTAAGATTAGGGCGTTCTGGGAAGGAATGAATCAAAAGACTTGATTTGAGCTCTGCCACGTGCCAGGCTCAATGCTAGGTGTTCTCACATTCAATATCTGTAATCTAAGCGTTTCAAAAAATCTTGGCAGGTAGATATTATAATATCCCCACTGTAGACAGAAGGACCTCAGAATTCAGAAAAGCCATGTTCAGCATCCCACAGCTAAAAGTAACAAAACTAGGCCTTAGATCAAGTTTACTCTCTTCAAATCCTAGTCCCCCTTCACTCCCTGAACAAATTAAGCCCACCACAAGGGGTTCTGCTTGGAATGTGTCCTCATGGGGACCTTTGATGTTATGTTGATGAAGTGGCTCCATTTCTCAGTCCTGGGCATAGTGCCTGCTACTAGGCAGGTGTCTGTTGTGGGCATAAAGTGCGTACATTGATCTTAGTAGGGGATGTGGATGGTCCAGCACTCAGAGAAAACAGCTCGGAGTGTGTTCCACAGACACCAGGTGCCTGCTTCATTGCAGACAGCATGTTTAATGGTTTTCTTTGCAGCTACTCAATGTGGACACACATAATTCTGTTTCTTTTCCAGAATCCTCTTGAGTTGACAAAATAAGCGTTTAATAAGAATTTTAGATTTCTTATAATTGATATATGTGTAAGTGTTTCAGAACTGTCATTGAAAAACTGATGAATGGATATTTTGATTCTTAATAGCAAATGGTTTACTATTCACTATTTATTTATAACTTACTTTTCTTTCTTTCTTTTTTTTTTTTTTTTAAGGGACAGGGTCTCACTCTGTTACCCAGGCTGGAATGTAGTGGTGATCATATCTCACTGCAGCCTCGGACACCTGGTCTCAAGTGATCCTCCCACCTCAGCCTCCCAAGTAGCTGAAACTATGGATCTGCTCCACCACACCCGGCTAATTTTCAAAATTTTTTTGTAGAGCCGAGGTCTCACTGTGTTGCCTAGGCTGGTCTTGAACTCCTGGCCTCAAATGATCCTCCCACCTCAGCCTCCCAAAGTGCTAGAATTATAGATGGGAAACACTGTCCCTAGCCCTAGGAACCTAGTAAAAAAAAAAATTTTTTTTTAAATATGGAGCCTCACTCTGTTGCCCAGGCTGGATAGCTGGGATTATAGGCATGCACCACCATGCCCAGCTAACCTAGTAAGTGGTTTTTAGTAAAAAGCTTTTACATACTTTTGTTTAATTAAAAAGTATCCTCAGCCGGGCATGGTGGCTCGCACCTGTAATCCCAGCACTTTGGGAGGCTGAGGTGGGCAGATCCTTTGAGGTCAGGAGTTTGAAACCAGCCCAGCCAACATGGTGAAACCCTGTCTCTCCTAAAAATTAAAAAAATTAGCCAGGCCTGGTGGCATGTGCCTGTAATTACAGCTACTTGGGAGGCCGAGGCAGAAGAATGGCTTGAACCTGGGAGGCAGAGATGCAGTGAGCTGAGATCACACCACTGCACTCCACCCTGGGTGACAGAGCAAGACTTGGTCTCAGGAAAAAAAGTACTCTCATTCTTTCCTTTTGTTAGTTGTGGGGAAGAATAGCTGACCTAGCAAAGACTAGAAAGCTGGTTCCTTAGTATTTTTTTCTTCATCTTCATAGAATAAGTTGTCTAAAGGTAAAATCTTTTTGCTCTCTTAAAAAATTAGTGATAAAAGATTTTAGGATTTCTGAAGTGGGAGTGAGTTGTAGCTTAATGGCAGAGAATCTGGGGAACGCAGCTTAGCCCATAGTTGCCAGTTGCCCTTTGATGACAAGCCTTCACATTAGTTCATCTTTCTGGGTGACAGCCTCTCCCTCACCAGAGCCTATGGTAACTCTGCAAGTAGGTAAGGCAGGAAGTATTGCCTGGAATGAGAACTCAGCTTTCCTGACTTCCAGTAGAGTGTCCATCTCGTCTCTCTGGCCCCGATGTTTAAAGTTCTTTTGGTTAAAAAAACCAGTAGCATGGGAAGTGTGGGCCTGTTAACCAGCAGAACCTGGGTTTGTGAAAGTCTTCACCAGAGTGAGTAGAAACAGGGCAGACAGTGCACACAAGTGCTTCGGACTGGGCAGTTCTCTGGCCAAACTATGGAGTTTGTCTTACTGGCGCTCTGAAAAAGGGTTTCATAAACTCACTCCACTGAGGTCATGGCTTTTTACCTCAAGTCCAGAGGCTCTGTGGACCCCGAGAAGTTAGATAAAATCCTATGTAAATGCGCATTTGTTTTTTTGCCCTCTAGGTATGGGTTTTCATTAGATGTGACAGGAGATGGTAACTCCCCAGTCGTTAAAACCATTTTTCATTCTTTTGGTTCTCAAAAGACAGACCAAAGCAGGCTAGCTCTGTACAAATAAGCTCCCTCTATGATATGTTTCCTCTGGCCCCCTCACTGCTGCCTCAGACGTTACAATTCAGCTGCTCTGGCTTATTACAGATAGAACAGAGAGTAGTGAAGGCTACTGAGGTGATGTAGGGCCATCCAAAGAGCGATAGACCAGGAGTTTGGAGCCTTGAATTCTAATTCTGGTCCTGCCAGTAGACTTGCCACAAGTCCTGGAATGCTGCAGGGTCCAAGATGGCCAGTGGTAATAGTCAATCTTTGTTGTATCTGTAATAAACCACAGAAGGGCTGGGTGTGGTCACTCATGCCTGTAATTCCAGCACTTGGGAAGCTGAGACAGGTGGATCCCTTGAACTCAGGAGTTCGAGATGAGCCTGAGCAACATGGTGAAACCATGTCTCCACCAAAAATACTAAAAATTAGTTGGACGTGGTGGTGTGCCCCTGTAGTCCCAGTTACTCAGGAGGCTGAGGTGGGAGGATCACTTGGGCCCGGGAGGCAGAGGTTGCAGTGAGTTGTGATTGCACCACCATACTCCAGCCTGACTGACAGAGCAAGACCCTGCCTCAAAAAGCAAACCAACCAACCAGAGAAGCTGAATTGTGAAGTTTGAGGCAGCAGTAAGGGGGCCAGAGGTGACATATCATGGAGGCAGCTTATTTTTCACAGTGCTAGCCTTGCTTTGGTCTCTCTTGCGAGAACAAAAGAATGAAAGGTGGTTAGAATTTGTTGCCTTTCAGATTTTTCTATGACTCTGTTTAAGGTAAGGAGCCATAAGTTTGAGTTTGAGTAAACTTCTACATTTTCAGGTATGAAATGTGTTCTCTTCATAGTCATCAGGCACTCACAGATTGACGGCAGAGGAGAGGAACCAAGCTACACTTGCCCTTAAAGCAGCAGGATGGTCGGAATTAAGTGAGAGAGATGCCATCTACAAAGAGTTCTCCTTCCAAAATTTTAATCAGGTAATTGTTATAAATTCTTGCTAGAGCTATGGTCTATTTTTGTTAACTTAGGCTGTAACTTTTTTTTTTTTTGGATGGAGTTTCATTCTTGCCTAGGCTGGAGTGCAATGGCATGCATGATCTTGGCTCATTGCAACCTCCGCCTCCTGGGTTCAAGCAATTCTTCTGCCTCAGCCTCCCAAATAGCTGGGATTACAGGTATACGCCACCATGCCCGACTAATTTTTTGTATTTTTAGAAGAGATGGGGTTTCTCCATGTTGGTTAGGCTGGTCTTGAACTCCCAACCTCAGGTGATCCACCTGTCTCGGCCTCCCAAAGTGCTGGGATTACAGGTGTGAGCCACCACGCTCGGCCAATTTTTGTATTTTTAGGAGGCAGGGTTTTGCCATATTGGCCAGGCTGGTCTGGAACTCCTGACCTCAAATGATCCGCCCACCTCAGCCTCCCAAAGTGCTGGGATTACAGGCATGAGCCAGCGTGCCTGGCCTAGGCTGTAACTCTTTCTGATTCTCCCAGTTGTCTGGTTCCTTGTAGATCTAGGATTCAGCTCTTCCCTTCTTTAAGAATTCAGTGACAGAGTTACATCCTGTTGACAGTTGCCATCACCCACCTGGGCGATGTTTAGCTCTGGGGAAAGAGGGTGGTTTGTGTTATTTGGAAAACAAATTCTGAAACTACTATTGCTTTGATTTGGTGTTGGTTAGGATATTTAGGTTTCTTTTTTTTTTTTGAAATTTCAATAACAGCGAAAGACAGTGTAAGCTTTTTATTATTGATTGCTATTTTTTGAGACAGGGCCTTGCTCTGTTGCCCAGGCTGGAGTGCGGTGGTGTGACTGCGGCTCACTGCCACCTCGACCTCCTGGGCTCAGGTGATCCTCCCACCTCAGCCTCCTGAGTAGCTGGGACTATACGCGTGTGCCACACCCAGCTCATTTTTGTATTGTTTGGAGAGACAGGATCTGGCTATCTTGCCCAGACTGGTCTCAAATTCCTGGCCTCAAGCGATCTTCCTGCTTTAGCCCCCTAATGTGCCAGGCATATAGGTGCGAGCCACTGTGCCTAAGCTTAAGCTTTCTATATTTATCTGAAGGGGGCATGAATACTGGCTGAGGAAGATATACCTGCTTGACTTATTTTCCTTTACTTTTTCTGGGCTGTTGGTAATTTTTCTTTCTTCCTGCAGTTAAATTTCTAGCTCTAAATCATCTCCCAGGCTGCACCCTTTTCCCTCATTGGGTTATTTTTCTCCAGCCCAGTAGCCAGATCCTGAACCTTGTCTTAAAACCTGACCTCCCTCTTGGAGAGTCAGCTTTAGCAAGGTAACTGTTCCATTAGGGCCCCACCCTGTTTAGAGAGTCATCTCCCATGACTTTCCCTTCCCTTATTACTCCACTGCATTTATATAAGGTAAACGCTTTTGACTATGTTGTTTGTTCAGTTAGTTTGGTAATCCTTTGGACAGATTTATTGTTTTTATTTATATTGGGTGTCGGCATCTAGAAGTCAGAGACCATGTTTGCTTAAATAACTCTCTATTGTACCTAACACAGTTCTGGGTACAAACAGGCATTTGATAAATGCAGACATTGATTACAGTGTTTGCTGGTTTCTAGAAGGGTGTGTGAAGACCAGATTCGCACCAAAGAAACCCGCGGCGTGTTTTCCTAGTAAATGCTGTTGGCTCCGTTGAGTTGCATGCCCGATTCTGTTCTCTATCCATCTGGCTGCCAGCCTTCTGCTGTGAGTCCCCAACTCCTAAGGAAACCTGGACCAAGCAGACTCCCTGTCCCCGCTGCCCCACATGCTCGACAGCTCTTGTCAGGGGCTTAGCACGCTGCGGCTGGTGGCAGGGAATCCCATTGGTACAGTAAGCCTGTGTATAAGCTCTGGGTAGCATTTTCCAAGCTTATTAAAATTCTTACATGTGTACAGCTTGACTTCTTTAAACCTGGCCTAATTTATTGGGCTTGAACATGTGGCTTAAAGTACTTGAGTGGTGTTGCCTCAGGCCCTGCCCGTGAGTCAGTCCTCCAGCACCATTCTGACCTTGCGCTCAGGGTGACCTTCAGCAATGGTAGGGAAGCATACTGGATTGATTGTAACATTATTCACTGGGGCATTTAATTAAGTAGACTCTTTTCTCCATTCACCCAACTTTTAGGAAAAGAGGCAGATGAACCAGCACTGAGATCATATCTGGGGGTCATCAGTTTTCCTGCCAGGCCCCTATGACTTCTGCCTGTACCATGGCTGATGATGGTAACTGATATCCTGACAGTTATCAGTGCCCTCCAGCGAAGCACAACTCGGAACACACCTATAGTCGAACAGGTTGAGCTTCCTGCAGTGAGGGAGAAGGCACACCAAAGGGCACCATGAGGCGCCTCACGAGACGGTGTTGGGAAGCCAGGATAGGATCTGGGCTTGTAGTAGTGATTTGGGGACTTTGCTCTGGATTAGATGCTGTCCGGAAATGGGTACTTCTGTCATTGAGCATTTTAATAAATTATATCTATAGGGAGAGGAGATTAAAATGGTGCCAAAGCTGAAATTGAAGAAGAAGCAATAGTCACTCGTTAGCTGGGAGAGGAGGATGTTTGGTATTTTGTGGATTGTACAAAGTTCGTTTTGTCTGTGTTCAGATATTGCAGAGTGGTCTTGTTGTGGTCTTCATCCATCATGGTCAGAGTGGCCTTTTTTGATGTTGATGCTGATATTGAAAAGGAGAACACCAGGGACTGGCTGATAGTACCAGGCCAGCGTCCAGGGATTAGGAGTTGCTTTTCTCTTACTCACAACTGGTGAGTAGGGTAGTGACCCTCTGGCACCGACAGGTCCTCATTCATCTTTCATCTAGGACAGAAAAGCCATTTAAAAAAAAATTGTAACAACAGCATAACATTAAATAGGATGGTGTAAATAAAAAAAATTTCCAATCCCAACTACTTTTATTTTTCTCTGTTCTCTTTTGGTCTGTCTCCATGGGTATATTTGTTTTCCAAGTATGCCAGAGCATGCCAGTTATACATGTGGTTAAGTTTTATTTTATTTATTTATTTTTAGATGGGGTCTTGCTTTGTTGCCCAGACTGGAGTACAGTGGTGCGATCTTGGCTCATTGCAACTTCCACCTTCTGGGTTCAAGCGATTCTCCTGTCTCAGCCTCTCTAGTAAGCTATAGGCGCATGTCACCCAGCTACAGGTGCGCGCCACCACACCTGGCTAGTTTTTTGTATTTTTAGTAGAGACGGCATTTCACCATGTTAGCCAGGATGGTCTCAAGCTCCTGACCTTGTGATCCGCCCACCTTGGCCTCCCAAAGTGCTGGGATTAAAGGCGTGAGCCACCACACCCGACCACCATGTGGTTAAATTAAAAAAAAAATTAAGTTTATCATAAAACATTCATTAATTAAACAAAAATTTATTAAGCATTTTCTGTATACTACGTACTACTCTAACCTCATGTTGTTTCCATCCCAGTGGGAAGATAGACAATAAACAGATGAATAGGAAATGTAATTTCAGCTAGTGATGAGTACCATGGAGAATAAAGTAGGGTACTGGAATAGAGAGGGGTGGAGGCACTCTTGGAGGTGGAGTGGTCTGGAAAGGCCTTTCTGGGGAGGGGATCTCTGAAGCCTGACTAATGTGAAGGAGCTCAGCACGTGACGATCCAAGGGAAGAGCTTTCCAGATGGGGAGAACAGCAGGCACAGAGTTCCTGAAGCCGAATGACCTTGGCATGATTGAGCCAGAAGCAGAAGGCCAGTGTCCTGGAGTGGAGCAGGAGATGAGATGAGGGGAAGGGTCAGAGCATGGGGACCTTTTTGGCATGGTGAGGAGTTCAGATTTTATTCTGCAAAGGAAAGCTACTGGAGGATTTCAGGTGGAGAAGTGTCATTCTGTGGCTGTGTTCTAAAAAACCACCCTGCTGTTCTGCTGAGAATAGGTGGCAGGAAGGTCAGACTGGAAGCAGGCAGACTCTGTAGAACACTGTTGCAGACATCGAGGCCAGAGACGATGGGGGACTTACGGAGGCAGCAGTGGGGGTGGAGAGAAATGTCGGGTTCCTCATATTTTGAAAGCAGAATAATCTAGACTTGCTGAATGATTGGATATGGGGAAGGGGAGGGTCAAGGACAGCACCAAGGCTTTGGTTTAAGCTATAGAGTAAAGGGTAGTGCCACTGGTGCCATTCACCGAGCTGGGGAAGATGGGGTGCTCAGATGGATACAGATATTTGGAGATTACAAGTACAGATTTTTCAAGGGATTCTCCTAGCATAGGTGGATGAAGTAGCCATAGGTGTCAGTTGCTCTTAGCCTCCTCTTTCCACCCTTGGTGGCACAGTGTGTCATGGGTCGGTGGGCAATGTGTTGGTGACAGATGGTGACTCTGTGAGCAGATAGCATGGCAATGCTGGGACCCGAGGCAGGGAGTTTCCACACTCCGAGTGCTTGGATCCAGACAGGGTGGGGTTGGCATTTGTAAAGGAGCTTTGCTTTTTGCTGTTGTTGTTCCTGTAGACAGCAGGTGGGAGAGGTCTGCAAGCAACATGTAAACGTAAGTGTTTGGTAACTGCAGGGTGTCTGTGTTGAAAGAACAAAATGTCAGGTAGAAATGTGAGTGTGAGTGTCTCATAAAGATAGATTTTGTTATGTGTGACATGTATGGGATGAACTGGAAGCTTACAGAATCCGAGGAAATTTTAAGCTTAAAAGTAGGTGCAGAAAGTGAGGCTTTGGAACCCAGGAAATAGCTACTACAGGTGCCAGAAGGTGGAACCCTCCAGGAAAGGAGCCCAGCCAGCCAGGTGGCAATACCCCTGTCTGCCCCCAGAAGGCTGTCCCTGTTCTTTCACTGCTGAATACCTGGGCCACCCTTGTTCAGCATGGAAATAAGCTCAGGATCTGGAATGGCTAAGCGGCAGTGGCTGGGCGCCTGGGTGAATGATGAATTTTGCATGTAGGACATGAGGAGTTTCCAACGGGTGATT